GAGATACGGAATATCATCATCATGTTTGCTGTATGATTTAGTACATTCAAGAGGCATAGACTTTAAGATTATTGTTCTTTTCTTTCCAATATTTGAATGACTTCGCCTTGGGGGCAAATCACAGTCCATGCCAACATCTTCAGATTTATTGGATGCATATTTGGTAGGTTTAATGGGATCTATGGCTTGATTAACTGAAGCATTGTTCGAATAGCTCATGCATTTAAAATTTTTTATATATTTGTTATCAACTGGATTTTTTGCAACAGCAGCAAATCCCCAATTTTCCGAGGATACGTCTTGTAAACTTGCGGTCTCATTTGGTGAAGATCGAAATTCAATTTTCTTATCGTTTTCAAATATATTTTCTTTAAATGTACTTCTGTCTGTGTCATAGTCTTCTTCATCATTATCATCATCGCATTCAGAACTATCACTCGAGCTATCGCTTGAATCTGACTCAGAGCTAGAAGAAGTACATGAGTCTGAAGACGTACTTTCATCTTCGCACGCAGCATTATTTTCATCATCGTCGTCATCATCATCATCGCTATCACTTGAAGTAGTTGTTGATGATAAATCCGAATATGTACGTTTTCGTTGATTAACAATCTGATCCCGATATAGTTTTCTTTGCTTTATTTGAGAATCAACTTTTGTAAGAACGATGCAATTCTTTTTCTTTTGTTTCTGGCCGACAACATTAATGGATTGTTGTGATGTTGAAGGATTTTCTGTACGTTCTTCCCTTTTAATCATCTGTCGTTTGCAATTGGAATGTGGTTTTTGGGAGACATTAGAGTATGGGACAATTCTGAAAGTAAAAATTCATTTCAATTTACATTATTTAATTATTTAAATTTGTGTCGTCTAGTGCGGTATGATAACATGTACTATAATTATTATTAATCTCATAAAGGCTATAAAGAGAAAAAAAAAATGAACTACTGCCCGAGCTTATTTATGAATTATATGCAGTCGGGTTAAACCGGCTTCTTTAAAATATTACAATAAAAAATTTAGTCTAATAGTCTAATAGTTTTCATAACATCGATACGAAACTCGATAAGTCATCGCAATAATCACGAATCACGTGATAATCACGGTGTAAAAAGTTTTTCATACCTAAATGTAGGCTGTTACTCCAAATAAGACCGGTTCTCTCAAAGATCTATCTTAAACTATTTTTCCGTCGCTGACTGGGCTTGCCGCAAATTGAAAATATCGATTTTTTTATTAAAATTGGCAAAACCCGGTTTTAAGGTGATATTGAACCGCGATTTAGAATGACCCAGTCGATTTTATAAGAGCGTAACATATAAAATATATTAAATGAATATCAAATATCAAATGCAAGATATTTAATTCAGCAACAAAGATACAGTAATATGCATTTTCGTGTGTATCTGCGCTTTCTATACCAGATGTTTTAGAATCACATCATATTTGTATATCTAGTCTATCTCTTAGAGTAGTATTATTATTCTTTTTATATTAAAAGTATTAAGCACTTCATAATGCTTAGTTTGTTACTTACCTATCATTTCCGTGCTCTAGTTTAATGCTTCCTGTATCCCTCTTTAATGATTTTGGATGATCAACGTTTAGGCACGATTTGCATCTGAAATTTAAATAATCGGAAATATGTAAGTGTTTTACATATCGAGTCGAGCCTAAGTTTGGGGCAACTGAATTGATTAGAGCAATTGGATTTTAAAAAATTGTAGACAATTTAATTCGTAGACAATTTAAAACTTACTACTAGCAATCAACATGCTTCTTATATTCCCAAAATCGAGGTAAAGTTTTTCGCTTATATTTTGCATTTTTACCATAAAAGCTTAATATTGTCAGTTAACTTACCGATATGGATGTTTGGGCTTTTTGTCCGGTATCGTATCGAGGCAGGTCAAATGAAAATGATTTTTGCAAGCAAAACACTGTAAAAGGCATGGACCGCGATTGCGTAATTTGCACACAACGCAATCGGCACATTTCTGACAGTTCCATAATGATCCTTTAGTAACAAGCATATAGAGAAGCACATAAGATTGGGATTTGCATTTTCCCGCAATATTTGCACATGTTGTATGTAATGATATTCCACATTGTTTGCAGGAGCTGAGTGGTTCAGGAATGCCATTAAGATTTTTTTGATAATTACCGGAGCAATGTGTACAAGTTTCTTCTCCTTTTATAAGTATCTCTGTTTCTGGTACAGATTTTCGTGGTGTTGTTAGGGACTTGCCCTTTTTGTATAACTTTCCTTCCTGTATTAGGAAGCCAGTATCAACAGCCTTTTTTATTGATATTTTAATTATAGTTTTAAAATCAACATTGGGAGAAAGTTCAATGCAGTTAAATTTTTGAATATAATTTTCAATATTTTTAATGGTCGATCCCTCACATTCTCCCAAATCGTTGACTGCTTTAGCTACCACTTTGTAAAGATTTGTACTTTTATCAACTTTTATTCGTCTTTTCGCCATCGGCGCTTTATATGAATGCAGGCCTTTGTTGTATACTTTAATAACAGATCCAGATTCAACTGCCTTTTCTAATTTTTCAGCCACAATGTCTTCATGAAATTTGTGATGTGTTCCAATAGCCTGACAAATTCTCTGAACACTCGGTCTTTGTTTTTGTGACCGAATTTTTGATATTGCTTCAAGAATCCATTGTTTCCAAGTGTCCATACTGATGTCATGCGCAGATTCTCTCATTTTCTTACTTTTTACCTGTAAATAATATGTTAATCGTTTTTAAAACTATAAAATTCCGAAGTTGTAATTCAATTTAAGCTATACATGCACATTCTTTTGACAAAAGAATTCTAGGTCAAAATTGAAATAATAGTAGTACCCTCAAATATCCTATATATGCGTAGGTCAAGTATTAAATACATATAGACATAGGTCAACATTGTCCACCCCCATAGCTCGGTCAATTCTCATCCGATTTTCATAAGGTTTACCTTTTTGGTTTATGGCTTGACCTCTAGATCAATTTGGCAGCTAATGGCAACACCAGCAAGGCCTTAGTATACCCGCTAGTACATCCTATAAATTGCCATAATTACTTAAACCAATTTAAAAAAACAGGGCACTATATTTTCCATTGCAGTGAAATCTGGATCGCAATCCCCAACAGAGCAAGTTTACATTTTGGTCGCATTCCAATTCTTTTTGCCGGGTTCAATGTAGGCTCACAACCTACCGCTATTCACATTTGGATTCTTATTAGCTTTGAAATTATAGATTCATATGTCGGGTTGATACTGGCAATAAGAATACACAGATCATTGGAAAGAAAATTATTCAAAAGTAAAGAAATTCATGTGTAACTGTCATGATTTCAAGTTAAAATCAGCTAAGATCACATATAACACTATAACTGTCTTATTGGAAACAACATTTGATGTTCTCCAACACTGAAGGAAACAAACAAATAACCCAATCAGCAGGTGTCTCTCTGCTAAACTCACCACAACATCACACACATCTTCGAGCTTTCTTATAAAACATTCAGACTTCCTTTTTATAGATGGCATGGTTCTGCGGGTTTTAACTGCCGCGGTTGGACGTACGTTTTGCTCATATTCTGGTTTTCCGGCAAAGAAAGTGAACAGGACTGCCTAAGAATGTTAAATTGGCAGCACTGGTGAAAATGTACTTAAACGGATGGAGGCATCTCAAACCTTTTGTGGTATTATACACTTTCTTGATCAAGACTTCGAACTGAGTCAGTCTACTATCCAGAATAGAACACGCTGGACTAAGCCTGTCTTGCTTGCTAGAGTCAATCACATTTTAATTTGGATTACAAAGTGGCTTGACATAAATTAATGATCAATTTTCTTAAATTTGACCATTCTTATCGAAAGCCCAGCTTAGATTTTATTTACTTGGTTACACAAAATAAGTAATGCCCAGTGGCATTACTTGCTACACACATACAAACATGCATATGTACGTATGTATAAACTTAGGAAATACATATGTATGTACGTAACAACACGCATCAGAATCAATAAAGAAGTATTAAAGTGCAAAATTTTGACATAATGGAGCGGAATGATGTCGGTATTGAATTCTAATAGAGGCAACATAACACTAATTTCTTTTTGGACGTAACTTACAAAATGTTAATTCCCGATGCACTATTCACAAAGAATATTGTTTGATAATAAGTATCGTTTGTGAAAAGTATGTTAACGTTTCACAATTCTAAGATAAAAATAGCGTAAGACATACGCGCTATTGAAACATGGAATGGAACACTGAAATGTGCAGCTGCCTTTAACGCCGCAGTCAGGTTATATTTATTAGCTCGTTCTGTATTTCGATCTGTATATATATTCACATATATTTATATATTTATTTTTGTTTTTTAACGCAGCGTATGTCGTTACAGGTGATTACCTATTTTTTGTACTTGCGAGTTCTATGTTGGTTGGGCGCCAATCAATGAACTTGACTGAGGTGAGTTGTTTATACTTATGTGGTCATTTCTGAATCAAGACTTAAGATACAACATAGAAAAGGCTACAACATAGCTCCGACTGCTGAGCGCTGCTGTTGCTGTGACTAAGAAATGCAGCGTAGACGCCTCGTGCAGGCGACCCACTTTCTCAGCGGCTGTGAGCGCTTCTCGATGGTAGCGTGCGGTATGTGGTCAACTTAGATATATTTGTCAAAATGATAATATTGAGTGGAATGTTGGTTATTTCAGATATTTTACCCTGCGTAAGGCACTCTCTGGGTGGCGGTAAGGGGCAATAGGAAGGGATATTTTGATAAATATAGTTATGTTACTGTGTATCGCTCGTGCACGCATTTGAATTTTAAGATTTTATGTTTTACTTGGTAGTGGTAATATTTTTTGGTTCGTCCCCTGCCTGTTTGCAATTAATATAATATATTCGATAAGTGTTCGAATATGATTAATCGATTGCATTAGCATCAAACTGATAAATGTTTGTACTCAAATAATTAGATACATTTATGGTTGTGGTGTTGCTCAGTCTCTAATATTTTAAAGTGTTTTATAATGGTAAATGTAAATTAATAATAAATCAATGAAGTTCAAGTTTCATTTAAATTTCTGCGAAAATTACAACACAATTAAAATGCTACCGCTGCAAATTACTTTTCATATTTGTTGTAGGTCTGACTGATTCGATGTATACAATGTATTTACAATGTGTTTATTATACGCTGTATACATACAGTTTGTCCAGTAATTGTTTGCAAAATGAAAAAGTTTACTCAAATTCATGTTCAAACTTATAATTAACTTTTCTTTGCATATAATTATTATTCATATACAGTTGCGAAAAAGTAATAGAACCATAACAACACATTTTGCTCTTGATAAAAAAATGCGATTACCGTTGCGATTTTTTTTAATTTTGATTTTTTTTATATTGTACAATATTCCCCATAAACAACAACAGTGTCACCGTTCTTCAAATTTCTGTCTATATATTTTTTTTTAGGATTATAAGAACAAAGCCCCTGAAAATACCGAAAAAAATAGCGCCATAAGCCCTTTTTAGTGAATCCCCTATTTTTCGCGGAATTGCCTTTGTAGAAAGCACGTGTTTATTAGTTTTGAATAAGATTTCATTGTTTCTATCATAAAAGTTAATAATACTCATTACAATGGGACGTGGAAAGCACTGTACTGCGGAGAAGCGCGATCTTATCAAAAAATTGATATTGGACGGAAAAAAAAACAGAGAAATTGGCCAATTTGTAGGATGCTCTAATAAAATGAAGAAACCAAAGGAAAGGTTCAGCCCAAGTACTGTTTGAACCCTTCACTATCTCATTGATGGTGGGCCCCGATTTTGTCCTCCAGCCGCTCAAAATACAGCGGCAGCAAGAAGAGCTCCGAAACCCCATCCTCATACGCGATCCATGACGCATCACGCAGTTCGCTTGTCATGAACCACTGTGCGGCTTCGCCTACCGTGACTTGGTTCGTCGCCTTTGGTTTCTTGTCCAAGTCGATGTCTTACGATGTTGTCCGCTCCTCGAGGGCCCCTTAGAAGAAAAGCGGATAAGGGTAGCCTGCCGACAGATTTTTTGAGTGTGTAAGATGCAGCAAGACGCCACTTCTGCAAAAATTCGTGTAGCTCTTTGACTAAAACAGTTGAAGAAAGTCAATCCTGGAAATTTTGCTTTGCGTTCAAGTGGATGGGCATTTCTCATTGTGTAGTTTATATCGCCTTTGTAGTATAATCAGTTAGTATAATATAAACAGATAAACAATAAAATCATTTTCAACTAAAACAATTTCTTTTTATTTTTTAATACTCAATATAAAATTTATATTATTGTAATTTCAGTTTCGTCTGCCATATGGGAGCTCAACAAAGATTCTAATAGTTTTGTTGTTTGTAAACATTCTTTGGATAGTTAAGATTTATCCACCGTCTAAATATGACACCAATGAGAGCACGCCACAACCACTAAAACAAAGCGTAGAAAAAATTAAATCTGCAGTTAAATTTAAATGTCCTTATCATTCTGATACAGGATCTCAACTACCCTTGCCGACTGCCAAATCAAATGGCAATGTGACAAAGTTAACCTTTGCAAATATTGACTTTGGTTACGGGCGATGGGACAACCAACACAAGTACAAGATAAAGGATTTTGCTGTTGTCGGTGAACAGTACACAGAATCTTCGAAAAATAGTTTGCTGTGCCTTGCAACTCAAAGTTCCGTGGAGCGGCTATACTCTTTGCCACAGGTTGCAGCAAACTGGCACGGTCCAATTTCTGTCGCGTTGTTCTCCGCTGGACACGACGAGTATATTGTTTTATGATATTTCATCACGTATCTGCGCCTCTGCTTTCCGAATATTAAAGCAAACGCCACATTTCATATTTTAACTCCACAGGAATATGAAAATATGCCAGGCGGAAGAGCCGAATCATTAAATTTAAAACAAACATTTAATTGTCAAAATCCTGACAAAACATTGAGAACTTTATTGAAATTGCGAACAGCAAAAACCATGGAATGGAGAAAAAAAAACATATATCCTCAGAACCACATGCGAAATATAGCTCGAAAGGGATGTCAATCCAAATATGTTTTTTTAACTGACATTGATATAATTCCAAGTATTAATAGTGTTGTACTACTAAACAATTTTTTTAAATCTGTTACTTGTGATGGAAATTGTGCCTATGTTATTCCAACTTTTGAAATTGATGTGCGGGCGCCTTTTCCACGGACAAAGGAGAACCTTTTAGGGCTGATCAAAAAGGGACTAGCAAGACCATTCCATGAAAAAGTGTTTATTTACAACCAATATGCGACCAATTTTTCAAAGTAAGTAAAATTGAATAAATCCCTATCTCAATAATTCTTGTTTAGCAAGCAGGACTTATATTTTGTAAGCCGTATACAAAAATCTTTTCCGATAAGTTCTCAGTAAAAACTTTTGATTTATTAATCTTCAAATTTGTTGTGTCCCTTTCAGATGGCTATCATCACATCGAAATGAGACTGCAGTTAGAATAAGCCATACTGTGACAAACTTTGAGTTTTTATATGAGCCATTTTACATAACCATCGATAATGCTCCCATTCACGATGAAAGATTTACTGGCTATGGATTTACTAGAAATTCACAAGTAAGTATTAAATGAAATAGCAAAAATGTGCAGTAAGTATGTATTAATTCGGTTTAATGTGAGGCATTAAATATTTTATGTTCTGGGTATTTTTCGACGAATTAAACCTTCAGATTTTCATTGGACAATATATATTTTTCTTTTCAGGTTTATGAAATGTACGTAGCTGGATTTAAATTTTATGTTCTTTCGCCTGTTTTCACTTGCCATTGGGGCCTACAAAGAAAGCAAGCCCGGCCCGCTTGGAGAGAGCAACAAAATAACGCTAATCGAAAAAAATTTGACATCTTCAAAAGTGAAATATTTGCACGATATAAAAATGATCCACATATTAAATAAAAATTAAAAAACTAGTAAATCGCTACTCAATCTGTTTAATAATTGTTAACATCATACTTACCATTGGACTACACTTGCGGTACTCGAGATTTTAATTTAGAGTATAGAAAATTTGCTCTTAGAATGATAAGATTCAAGTAGATGGTAGGTATAATAGAGAGCGTTATCCTCATCGGGGACACTTATTTTAAAAGCCTGCAGATGAGTTATTTAAACGCCTTCCTCATTGCCAAGAGAGCAAATCTGGATTTCTTACACTTGATCAACGATGCAAAGCTTCAAAAATAAGAGGCCGCCGATATCAAGAATAGTAACTACTAGAAAAGTTTAAAATGTACCTTATTTTTGAGTGTGCTGAATCTTCTTTGTAAAAAACGTCTAAGCCTCAGACGTATTATTGTTTTACACATAATCATTTTGACTGATCGACTAATATTTAGTTTAATGCAAAGCATTTTATTGTTCGTTTACATGTATGTATATATATACTTATGCTTATATATTTGTGTATATAATATCTATATATAATATATATATATGTGTGTATATATTTTGGTGTATAATTATAAACGTAAAAACATATTTTTTAAAATTACACAAATCTTAAATATTTCTCACATTCTATAGCTCACATTTTGTATAAACTTGAAAACTCATATCTGTTAGTATTAAATTCTAGATGACTACCAGTTGGCTGAGGCGGCAAGTCCTCCAAAGTATATGCCAGTAGAGCTCCGTTATTTTCATGTACTGAGTAGTTGAGATCATTATGTGCTCCAATTAAATTACCGCTGTAGTCCTGGGTAGAATATGAACATGGATTTGCAATACCTTCAGATTCCACCAAACGGTTGTCTATACTGCTACTACAAAATCCAATATGTGGCGAATGTGTAGAAGTTAGAATACTACAGTCGCTGTCTTCGGTTGCCGATGGAATTGGGTTGAACTCTTCATTTTGGAATGTTTGCCCTCCATAAGTTAGAGAACTATTATGTATTTCAATGTTCATTGTAACAGTTTGGGGCTGTATTGAAAAGGACGGCTGTTGGGATATACTTTCCAAACCACAGTCTTCAGCGAAACACTCGTGCGTATCTGGCACATTGGGAAGGAAATGATGGCTAGCTGAATGCAAATTTGCATCATTTACAATGTTTTCCTCAGAATCAAATACAGGTTCATCAACGTTTTGGCAATCATCAAAATTTGACTGAGTTCTTATTATATTTAAGACCTGTTGGCTAGCAACTTGACTATTTGACGGTAAGTTCACTTCTAGCGATGGGTCTTCAGTTTTCGGTGAATTGTCGAAAAATTGAAAGTATTTAAGAACAACTTCTGACATATTCTCTTGTGTATTAACGAGGTTAATATCCGATATATTTTCCAGTTTAACTGTGCTGTCTTCAGAAGTCTGCAGCTGCATCGCACCGCAATCAATTCTATTTTTTGTATGTACAAACTCGGATGACTGGAGATTTACATAATTCTCTTCTGGTGGGATTCCAACATCGAATGAATCGGAGGGGGTATTTTTATCATATTTACTTTTTATTTTATCACCTGAATCGCTTTTCAGCCGTTTCGACAGTGTACCAGATTGACAAGTAGAGGTAGATCTTTTATTTTTTCGACCGGCAGTGTATGTTCCGTTAATTGCAACAGGTGTTGTTATATTGTGGAAATCATGCTTAATATCGATATCTACATCCTGATTTTGCTTTAAAACAACCGACAGTCTCGATTGTTTCTTTTGGGGCCTATATTTATAATTTGGATATTCTATCATATGAAGTTTTCTCAGCTTTTCGGCTTCAATAATATAAGGCTGCTTATCATCTTTGGCCAAAAGCTGCCATCGTCTTCCTAATTCCTTTGATATTTCCGCATTATGTAAATCTGGCGTTTTTTCGCAGATTTTTCGTCGCTCCATTTGACTCCACACCATGAATGCATTCATGGGTCTTTTTATATGGCCCGGAGAGTGTTTCTTTGTCTAAAAGATAAGAATGAAAAGTGAAGTTTTGTAATAAGATGTCGGCTAAAGATATTATGGAGTATAAGTCTGTTGTAATGCAAAATTCTTTGCTAAAGTCTGCGTATTGTAGCAAAGTTAATTTTCTTCACCTATGCAAACAAATTTTTACCTAAAATTGTTGTGGACTGGGAAATTTTTAATAAAATAATAATAAAAGTTAAAAAATTTTTGTCATTATTCATTGAAATGAGTTTCGCGCTATTTTTAATCCTTAAGGTAATCATGAGATACAACAGGACCCCATTTAAAAGAAGTAATATTTCGAGAATCTTCATCAAGTTGTTCATCGAAATATGAAAAATATTTGTCTCGTACTACTTGATCAAATCTACCTTCTATCTTTATAAGTGGGAACTTTATAACTGGGAACTAGCCAATAATTTTTCATTAATTTAACGATTATCTACTAGTAGTTGCCACATTTAGTCAGACTTACGATTTTTTTTGCGTATTAACTTATCTAGCTGAGATTAAATTTCTTCTTTAATTAGTCTCAACTTTTGTTTATAACATTTATTTGTTGAAATTATTTCTGGTTCTAGTCAAAAAATGTCACAATATTCTGCACAAAGTTTATTTAGTAGATTGTTTTTATTTAATTTAGCCAAAACTTGTATGTGATAATGTATATATATATATATATATATATATATATATATGTACATATATGTATATGTATATGGATATGTATATGTATATGTATATGTATATGGATATATATATGTATATGCATATGTACATGTATATACATATGAATATGTATATGTACATATGTATATGTATATGTATATCTGTATGTGTATGTATATTTTGATGATGATAATGTTTCGTTAACATATGTATGTACATATAGTTCACCAAGTGCCGCATTGAAGATAAATAACTGATGTGAATAACCGTTTTATTAGACTCACAAAAAAAGCACTAGGAATAGCGTTAACTTCGACCTTGAAGTAAGTTCGTCAACCCCAAGTTCAACCAACCAATATAGCTAGTAGCAACGACCGAGCAGAAAAAAAAAAACATCAGTTTGGTTGTGTTAGCTTAAACGAATGGGATATACAGCGATGATGAGGTGAAACCAGACGAATGCTACAACGGCCATTGACATTACGTGCCCTTGATAATATGTAATGTGTATGTAATATGCTAAAGCAAAGTGTAAGGATATAATTATGTGCATAGACATGTACTATATGTATGCTCATGTTTATTGGTTTAACAACTTCTTGCCAAAGGTTCTAAAGAAAATAAACTCAAATTTGCAAATTGCAAAATTCAATTGCGATTCGAAATTTAAACATTGTTTTGTGAAATTATACATCTATCAAATTGTTAACTTTATTATATTATATATTTCACTTTTCAATTTTTAAGGACTATTGATAGGGTAGGGAGTTGTCGACTCAATGGGACTAAAACCCATAAAAATTCCCTTTCGATAAGTGCATGCAGAAATTCTTGCAATTTGCGCTAGCTGCAGAATAGCTGTTAAATTAAAGATACCCAATCTGAATATAAGTAATATTTTAGAAGCGCCATTTCTGGGTGACTGATGACTCTAAGGATTTCGATGTAAATTCTTATCGATTGCTTGGAATTGCGATTAACTAATCGCCACTAGGAGGACTTACGCTTAAAATTTCAAGTCCCTAGCTCCCATTAGTTAATATCTAAGTGACCATTTTAACGCTGACCAAAAATTTGTATACTTTATGGGGTCGGAGATACTTCTGCTACTATATTCGACAACAATCCTCAAATTTCTAATTTTTAATTACTCATAAAAAATTTGTTATTTGTTGAAGCGCGTAAAATGCAAACAAAAGTTCAAATTAAAATTTTATAAATTAGTTTTTAATAATTATTAGATAATAATTGGAATCTAACTTTGTAGAGACAGAGGGAAGGATGTGGCTAGATATACTGTTTGTGCTCATCAGGAGTCTGAGGCCCGTCGTATAAGCTTTTCAATTACACTAAACCCATAATAAATCAATCAATATGTGTAATGTGCATAAAAAACAGTCTGGTTTTTAATTTATTGATTAAAAGCCTTGTGTATATGTAAGCTAGCGTAGATTAAAATCTTTTAAGAAATCACAAAACATTATCTCAGGTGCTAGAGTAGGGATTAATATAGATAAGATATTGAAGAAAGTTATTTCCGTTACTCATAGATTTCGCTAGCTTAAGTACAAGGTATGAAGTACAGCGTGTATATAAATAAGAATGTAAGTTGCAGTATACAGGGATATCCTACTTTGTCATAGTTCTCGCGACTTGCGTTTCCCCCAATTTACCACTGTTGCGGGTGGAATTCCCCAAATCGCTGAGGCACGTATTCATTAAGAATAGATCTTTGAAAATAAGTTTAAAGCAAATTTGGACAAAACTTAAAAACAAAAAAATATTTGAATCGCTCTTTTCACCGAGAAAGCTTTGATTTTGCTAAAAATGTGTTATACGTCCCAAATGATTTTTATGTAGATCCAAGATAATTTATTTGAGGGCGAAACGCCACCAACCAAATATTTGAGCTCCATTTGCAGGAGGAATGCAATTTTCGAAAAGTGTGAAACACCTTTCAAATGAATTTGAATAAAGATCTCTGAAAATTATTTTGAAGCCGATCGGATCGTAAGCAAAAACTTTCATACAACCGCGTCCGCCAATTAACCCCTGTTTGTGGTGGAATTGCCAAAATCGGTGAAACACGTATTTACGCATTCTTAGGTTTTGCTTTAATTTGGACAAAACTTAAAATTTCGCTTAAGAAATCATTAATTCGCATATTTCACTGAGGAAGCTTGAATTCTGAAAAAGTGTGAAGCACGTCTAGAATAAATTTGTAGTAAAGATGCTTGAACGGGAAACGTCACCCACGAAATCTTTGACCCCCGAAAGGTGTGCAACACCCCTGAATGCATTTAATATGAGCCGATCGGCTGGTTAACAAAAAGTGTCGTACAACCGAATGTCCAAAATCTTCGGGTGGAACTTGCTAAGAACCCGTCTTAGAGTGCACCTCCATCCAATTGTTATCTAAAATTAGTCGAACAATATCAATATGCAAGTACATAAGTGTAAGTATGTATGTGTCTGCATAAAATATGTTATCGGTAATACATTTCATTGACCTTTTCAATCCACATGACTTTCGTTCTTCACCTATGAAATCCATGAATGATAGACTGTCACACATAAATATGTATGTATATGTATTGAAGTATTGAAGAATGAAGACATATGACTTCTAGTACATGCATGTATGTATGTAAGCATACTAATTCTGATTGGATATGGGTAGCTTTTGAATAAATCGTTCAGATAATTAATTTTTATAAATAAAAAACATTTTTATATTACTAGAATATAAATATATAAGTATTTATACATAAATAAGTACTTATATATATAAATACGTATCTATATATCTAAATATGTAGTCGAAATTTTAAACTTTTTGAAGAATAACAAATATAAAGATGGGAAAGGTAATGTAAGTATAAGACAAAAGCCAATATCCAAGTCATTTATAAATTAATACGAAAATAAAATATACTTACTTGAGTTGCATCTGAATATGGAGTACTGGAGTTAACTGGAACGAGTGCAGATCCAAAAACCAAATCCGAATTATCATTTTCTCTTTCTAGTCTTTGCATACTTTCTGTTGGAGATCTTTTGCTTTTGCTGCTATTTGCATATTTCTCCATTTTAGTTCTGGTGGAGGCAGAGGGTGGCACCAACGTGTTGTTGTTTTTTTTTTTTGTTTTTGTTTTTAGTAATTAACTTGTACGCCTTTTTATTTGAAAAGTTTAAAATGTGTTGTATAACGACGTTAGTTAGTGCATGAGTGATTATTTGAGTGGAGTTGGCTTGTTACTGTAATCCAGATCTTTGCAGTATTAATATTGGTTTATCCCTGAGTAGACTGGCCAATTATTTGTATTTCATTACATAAAAATAAAAAAATATACGTATTTATACACATATGTACGCATATTTACATACATGTAAATCTATGTATATGTATGTACGCATGTCCGTGTGCATTTGCATGTGATTCATTTGTATTTCTTATTTGGTTTATTTGATTAATGTGGTACTGCATACATATGCATGTAAATACATACAAATCATATGTACAAGTATGTGTGTATGTGTGTAAGAATACAAATACAAACAATTAGTATAAGTTGATCATTTTATTTATACTCTCAAATGTGTATTTGTATACATATGTACATGAGTGTGCATATAAGAAAATAATATATATATATAAATACATATATATGTACATATATTATAATTATTTCTCGATATGCATATGCATGTAAGTATGTGAATATGCCTGTTATTCCTTATGTTTTGGACGCTTCTTGTACATATACACACATGTACGGTATATATATTGTGTATGCACGTACATACATACGTATGTATACAGTATAATCAAGGTGAAACTGGTTCCTAGTTTTGTGTTCGCTATATTCAAAGACGCACGTTCATGTTTTTTCTGTAGTAATGAGTGTATATTTTTTTTCCATGTATGTATATGCACACATACGAATGTACACACATATGTAGCGTGCGTAAATACATGCTTCAAACTTTGTATACTGTTGCGGAAACACAATAAAAATTCACAGATGCACAATCTTACACATGCACATGTATGTGTGTATGTATGTATATATGTGTACAAATTTTCAAACATTTGTTCATGCACACTACATATGCACTTATATATGTACATGCATGTAAAAAAATAAACTTATTGCCACAGTCAAAACATGAAAGTGCGTCTTATATTTATATTTAAATTTTAAATCGCTTATTCCGAAACAAAACAGTAAAACACAAGAAAAACCCTGAAAATGTATTGTGTATATAAATGTACATATATATTTGTACGTATACGTGTGTTTATTATTTCATGCATGTTTTTTTTTTTCATATTTTATTTCTTCCGTAAAAAGAGTACAATATATGTGTGTATTCTTAAATGTTCACTGTGCATTCAAAGACACTCAGAACCATAATCGAAATGCACGTCAATTATAATATACATATGTACATATAAAATTGAAAGGTTTATTCACTTCAGAACTTCACAAACACACTATGTATTCATATACAAATGTACATACATATTGGTTAACACTTGTTGCTTAATTAGTTACATTTAATGAACGTTATTTATAATTTAATGGCAATTTGGTTTTAGTTTGGATCTTTATCATTTGCCCATTTATATATTTATATATTTACCGAGATTACGACGGAGCAGAACACATATTGCGACCGACTGCTCCGCGGCAAACTCGGAGCATTCTGGCTTAATTCAATCTAAGCGCCAAGAGCCAGTACAAGCACAATCGCAAAGCAGCAGCAGCAGCAGACACGACGAACACGAAACGATTGAGATACGAGTTGAATGTGACGAGAAACTACATTCATACGTACGTATACATTCGTACAAATATCTGTTATACATAAGCACGTAAATAAATACATACATATGAATACACTACGCAAATTACTTTAGGTTGTTATTTTTATCGCTCTTTATACACACACAGAAACGTATTGTTATATTTATGTATGTATATACATATGTACACACGTATATTTCATTTCTTGTTACTCTACAATTTTCATTTATTTTACTGTCTTGTTAATATATGTATAAATATATATGATTTAGTATAAGAACATACATATATTATCGTACATTTTTTTTTAGCTTTTCGTTCTTTATTTTAAACCGATGAGGTCGTTGTCGATCGCTTACAGCTGTTTAAGTGAACTGGCTTGCAAAATGTATGCTTGAATCCCTGCACACATCCCACACATGCATACATACATATATACATATACATATATATATATAAATATATATTTATATGTACATATGTACATACTACCATGTACATTTATGCATTTCGTGAGCTTGCATATTCGAAACAGAGAGCCAAGAGTCTAACTGCGCGTGTTTTTTTCTCTAACTAAACTGACCAGAGGCGCACTGCGGTGACTAAGTGGCCCATAAATCAAGTCAAAAATTAAATATTTTAATTTTGCTAATATTTTCAAATATTCAGTGAGCTATATTAATTTTAAAGTCCAATTACATGTTATTCTGAATTTTTAAATAATAATAAACAATTGATAGAAAGTAACAATTTATAATTTTCATTATGGAGTAATCCCGATATAGACTATCGATGTTAATTTACTACTAGATTAAATGCAACATTGAATACTGATAATTATATTGTGGTAATAATAAACAAGTTTGGTTTAATATGTAATGTACATTGCAGACGTCGGTGATAATCTAAATGCGCCCCTGGAATTTTTTATTGATATCAACAGTTTTAGTAATTGTTGTCTGTGTGTGTGAGAAGCAGAGCGAATGTCCATATGCTGAGAGTCTTTATAAATACATACATACACATATCAATGTATGCTTATATACACAAGTATTATATACGAATGAATCAGCTGTTCAATGCGTATTAATCATATGTTTATATGAAGTGTCTTTGACTGAATGTGTATAACTGTATGTACATACAAATGTATGTGTATTTACAATCATGAATGCACATCCCAGTCGAACTGGGCTAATATTTTGAATTACTTATCGCAAAGTGAATTTTAAAAATGAATGTTGTTTTAATAAATGTTCTATGCCTCATTATTTATTATTAATTAATTATAACAATAAAAATTGAATTCATTTCTGCAATAGGGAATCCAAACATGCTTCTTAAAACATACCGCTCATAAGAAAAACGAAGTAAATTACAGCATTTAAAACAATTAAATGTAATTAATTCTAACAAATGTTTTACTCTTGTTGCAGGGCTTTAAATGTAAGGGAATATTTAACTGTACTCCTTTATTATCGTTTCTCAGGGGCTAGTCTCATCCCTAGACCACAGTCCTCACAATCGATATCAACTTGCTACATTGAACATCTGAAGCCAACACTATAGCAGAACGAACTACAAAAAGGAACAGCTGGAACTACGAATAAATGAACAATATTAACAGTTCGAACTACAAAAAAAATGAAAACAGCAAAGTTAAAACTCTAATAAAAAACACCAAAACTCACTATTAATCCACTTGATTCTTTCAGATCGGGTCCCGATTCCGGATCAAGGCGTACCCGCCCCTAACAGTGATGTTGCAATTGCAATTATCCGCAGCGGCGATTTTTGTGGGGTAGGTTATCGGAAGTTAAATCGAGCACATAAGGGCGCCCATCGCCCGTCTTACGATCAACTGAACTAAGCGAGGAAAAGCTGAAGAGCGTTTGCGATCGGCCACCCGATTAGCTCAGAGCTCAGAGAGAGAGAGAGAGATAAGGTAGAGTAGAAGAAGGAGAGAGCGAATCGGATGCCCTTTGAAATGTCTTTGACGCACAAATGCAGCTGCGCATATGTGCAGCAGCGGCGACCACAATTTACAGCGTATGCTTGTGCCAAATATTCGGCATCGAGCAAAAATTTAAATAAATCGATAGTTGTAGTTTATTTGATATATAATTACTGTTCAGGAAGGTACATTTCAAGTTTGGTGACTCTAGCTCTTAAAAATTTAGAGATTTGCTCAAAAAATAGGATTGCGATATCGATTTTTATCGATCGCGTGGAAATGGGAAAAGTTATCGAAATTCGGAAGCAAACTCGTACTGCACATGCAATAGGCAAAAGCTTTTTTGTAAAACGGTATCATTCGCCTATCTAGGTCGCCGTGCAACCATCCGATCTGGGTAGTAAGTAAAAAGGCATTGATAACTCAGGTGAGAAGTGCCTGGTCGTAGATTTCAGAAAACGCAATCTATCAAAACGCGAGAAGATAAGATATCGGGAAGAATTTTAACGTCTACTTCGATATTATCGAAAAATGTTATGGATATTGGCGAGGCTTTAAGAAACATCCAGGACGTCAACTGTCGACCCTATAATGCCGTACGCGCACCCAATATCACGGCACAGCCAGTTAATAGCAGGTGAAAACCGCGCAGGACCTCCTTCCACGGCCATTGCCTCTGCTGGAACTCCAATCGTTACACAAGGTTCTCGAAGGAGTTTATGGCGTCCTTGCCATTGACGTTCAACAGTTCGAGTTACAGGTACACACTTTACCGTACGTTGGCATACGCTCCATCCAGCTGGAAGTTATCCTCTCTTCGGTCCTTTACCCTGAAGTTACTACTATTGAGATTGCGCAGCCCGCTGCTGTGATTTCGGTGGCACCGGCTTTGAAAACGATCTGACCTTTCACGCTCCTTCGGAATGGTGAAGAGCTATGGTAGGGGGAAATTTCGACCTATGTCCATACAGGATATTTGAGGGTATTTATTTGTTTATATGGGTTATTATTTGTTTTGCTCATTATATTTATTATATTATTTTGCTCAGCATTAGCTTTCACTTTAAGGTTTAAAATTTCGCTTGGCCTTTTAATATAGCGCATTTATCGACTATAGCCCGACCACATAGCAAAAAAATATTGATCTACCATACAAAATACATAAAAAAAATATGTTATTAAAAAAAAAGCAACGCAACAATTTCTGTACACAAACATACATAAAATGCATTTGGCAATGGCAATTAGACCGTTTGATAATTGGGGATGCAAGTTCAAACGCACCAGTTGAAATAAATATTTTTACATTTTTTTTTTTTAATTCTTCTTTTACTAATAAAAAGAGATTACCTTGAATTTTTTGTTTCGTTTTTATAACGGACGCTATTTTCGTTTTGATTGAGTTTGAACACCGATTGACACCACCTGCCCAGGACTTGCGGTACGCGGCTAATGGGATTTCCTATGTTTCACACAATTCCACAATGTTCGTGTCTTGCCGATGTGCCTAAGAACATCGGAAACATCGAATAATCGATAACAAAACATTGAAGCAGTTTAAAAGAATCGATTTTTTGTATAAACTTAAAACATGTAAACACACTTCTTAAATATAAGTTCATAAAGTGGAAAGTGTTCATATTTATAGATTGCAGAATGAACTGCAATCATTTCATAGAAGTTCCCCTGCGTTCTAGCGGAGGAAAAAAAATGAAGAAACGGAAAGAACTCGACGCTCTTATAGCACATTCCCTCACAAAGAGGGGCTACCACCGCACCGTAAACTCGCAGGATAAGTTACTGTCAGTATCCACCGATGACCCTGATGATTTAGCATGGGTAATAAATTAACCTTGATAAACCCGTTCAACTTATAATCTAATTCATGCATATGCATGGCTCTTATATGTTTTTATGTACAATTCTATGTGCATACATACACATATATCATGTGTCTTCGTTCTGATTTAGATGAGCGCTCCCAATATCCGTCGAAATCATAAGAAACAAATATATATCCGTAAGTGCGGGCCAGTTCTTTTCGGGATAATTATCGTGTTTGTTCTCGCTCTTTTATACTGGGCGTACTTTGATTTACGTAAACAGATTTCCGATTATCAACAAAAGTTTGAAGAAGGTAAATGTTCATTTCTATGCATATACAGTTGGCCCAAGAATAATGCGTATCAAATATGTACTTTAGAAGAAGTACCAGCGTCACATATATATAATAATAACCAATTTATATCCCATTGTATCGTAATTGTTAGTAAATCGCCCCATCTTCAACAAATAAATTCCCATTCTCTCGGTGACCACGCGTCGGCATACTCTTCTGTTGTTTTCCGTCTTTCTGAATAATATAAAATTCAATAATCTCTATATATAAAACTGTTTATCCTAAGCGACTGACTAATTGGTCAACGCACAGCGCAAGCAAAACTGACATTTTTACCGTTGTTACCTTTTGTGGTAAGGGTGGCACGCTTAAGATTTTGGAAATTCCACCAGAATTTGCATGAATCATTTTTTTACCATCACATAGGGTGGAATGAAAATGACAAAGTACGAGACACAAAAATAGATTTTCCATATGTTTCGCAAATATGAATCAGTAGTCCGATGTCCAGAGCAATAGCTTATAATACTGATACTGTTGGGATATTAAAGATATTTTGATATTGCCATAGACCATAGTCTTTTTAGCTCTGTAAAAGTATTATAATTTTCTTATAAAATGCGTAACTCATAGAAGGAGACATCTCCGACTTCATTATCCTCACATATCTGCAAAAGGCAAATGTCTAAACGGGTATATAATCTCCGGGGTTCCAAAGATGGAACTCATTTTTAACTAAAGTTAATTTAATTGCTGTCATTTGACCAGAAGGTAAAAAACTGTTAAACAAAAACATGCAAAATGCACCTTAACGGAAAAAACATCCTCCTCTTAGACGCAAACAGGCTTTGTATAAATAATATACTAAACAAGTTACATTAATTAAACTTAAAGATTAAGTGTGTACGAAACATTTTTTGGCTGACTGTAATGCTAATTTTAGTCAATTTAATATTAATTATAAAAATCTTAATAGTTTCTGCAGTGAGTAAAGTTTTTCCGGATACGCTTCAACATTGGCATGAAACAACAGCATCGTTTATAAAAAATCAATCGTTGGTTGTATACCAATTAAATGACTTAACTCAAAACGTAGAACTTTTGGGAAGTAATTTAAGCAGCCTTCAAGCAACAGTAAATTCACAAAGAATTTACGGTCAGGATGAGAAGATAGTCGCTGACTTTGGAGCTAAATTAGAGGCAGTTGTGGCTGATATAGATGTAATGAAGGAACATTACAAAAGGGTCGTCGAAGTGCAGAAAAGCTTCGAGACTGATATGGATATTATAAAGGAAAGTAAACTATATACTTATACACCTATTATTTTAATGGACTTGACAATTTTAGGCCAATATAAGTCGATTGTCTACCGTTCAAAATTGTTCTTCACCAGCAAATTATACAAAGGATGTTAATTTGATTGTAAAAACATTGGAAAATGATTTAAAAAATGTGGATAACAAAATTATGTATGTTAACAACACTCTCCGGCAGACAATAAAAATTCTACATGAAGAGATAATGGCCCACAAAGTATGTTAATTTCGTTACGCTTCCTGGAATTTAATATAAATTAATCTTTTTCAGATAAAGTTGGAGGACTTATTGGACCGCTTTCAAAACATATCAACCCATGTTACCACATTAAGCAATAATTGGTGGCAATTTAAGCAAAAAAATGTAATTGCGGATAAAGAGTTGAGCAAATTGAATGAAAAGGTAATGTCATCGTTTTTCAAAGGGAGATAAGATCCCCCGCTGTTTTCCCCTAAGTGGTATGTAAGGATTGGCTTATGTAAGGATTGGCTTAGAACATGGTCGTCACCGTGACGGTCATCAACATAACCATGCCGTCTAATCGCTCCAGGTTGTTAGTCCGCAGGGTGTACGAGGTGGGCAGAGCTGGCGAGACGGCTCTTTCTGCTGTTCTTCGTAATATTTGCGCTCCTGGCGCGCGTCGCGCTGGCGGCATTCGGCGCCGGGTCCGCGGAAAGACTCGGTACTTCGACTTATTCGTTAACTTATCCGTTACTCAATTGCAAATACAATATTCTCACAGTGCGGCTAACATCCTATGAAATCTACTCGATCTATGCTACGGTTATGGCAACAGTGATATTTGCTCGCTGTAGGAATCTAGCCTTTGACTTACTAAGAAATAATTTAAATTAATACAATTACCTAAATGTTTTATAATTATTTATTTATTCAATTAAATAAAATTGTAAAAGGAAGAAAATTAATATGATGATCCCATTTTGCAGGAACCTCAACAGCATAATTCGGTTCCACTGTAACAATAGCACCAATATTAACTACGACAGCAAAGACAACGCTGACAGCTGCGGACCAAGCAAACCGACACCAGACGTCCCGGCATTTCCACCAACGGCATCGCCTACGGAATCATTATGTAGGGCATTCACAGCAGCAGCTACGAATACAGTACCTGAATATGCAAAAAGCCAGCCTTCCTTCTTTTGTTACGCGGATGACACCATCCTTACCAAAGCAGGCACATAGAAGTAGGGCGCTACACTTACACACAAGGTTTTGGATCGCTTTTGGTATTGGGCCATTCCATCTGCATCAACGGCGAAAAGTCTCAGCATTGCATGTTAGCGCTCAAGCAAACAAATCGTAACGATTTCTAGCTCAACAACGTGGCCATGCTTAAGGAGAACCATATTCGCTACGGGTATCTATCTGGACAACTTACTTGACTTAAACACAGCGTTGTGTTGGCACCAGCGTATAGATCCATACGGTAACAAATAAAGCCGTATTAAAAATGTAACTGGTCAAAATATATTGTAAATTATGTAAATAATTTGTAGATTTAGCTCTCAGACACAGACTCCAACAATTCTGGCACTATTGTAGTAAAATATTTTCATCCAAACTTTAAACTTTTCCAAAGCCACGATATAGTATATAATTTCGACTTTCCAAATAATGTTTATATTGTTATATAATTTTTAATTTTGTTGGCGTTTACTTTTTAGGTCGTAAGTCTACTATTATAATGTGTTTTTTATTTTTAAACGTTTATTTGTCTGCTAATAAATATTTATAATAAAATAGTTAAAAAAAATGTTTTTCTTTTGCATTTTGTTGATCTAAACTTTAGATGCTATATTATTACTAACTACCGTCCACTTTACAATCTCCTAAACTAGCTTTTCTTCGACAATTTCGTATAAAAATTGACATATAAAGCTCCAAATTGTGGTAAGATATCTAAATTATAACGAATTAAAAAACGTTTTTCATACTGTTTCATTCTGCTTTCAAGCAACACCCTCCTCCTAATGCTTAAGGCTCAGTTTCGGGTTCAAATTGAAAGGATCATTTTAAAAATATAAAACGCGCTTTAGAGAGAAATTAAAGCAAATTACATAATAATATTTGATACTGTATTTATTAATGTATTTTATGAATAAAAAAGCCAAACCTTACTACTAATTTAAATATTAGCATATGGATGAAACATCTATGTTAATGTTTCTCCTTGGGTTACGCAAGCTTCCAAGTAGTCTATACGGCGTTCTAATATCGTAAGTTTTTCATTGAGTACCGCAAGTCTGGATCGACAGGACATATCTGAAAAAAATCGTCTTTTTAGAAAGTCTTTATATATGTTTACAGTCTTACTCTACGTTTTGTTATTACGGTAAATTAATTGAAATAGCTCAATGAAGCGAACTGCTTTTGCACAATAAGTTGATCCACTGCATTCCAATATTCGCATTTAATTTTGGAGCCGATAGCTTAAGTTTTGCTTGAATTTTTCAAAGCACAATTCTTGCCGAGTCTTATGACTTATTATATCGTACTTGGACTAATTTTAAAAATTCGCACAATCAGTCGAGTTTTGCAATTTCTAATTCATGATGTTTGCCTTTTGTATGGATATTTGTTTTTGTAATTTACCATTACAAGTGTGACCAGCCCGTAATTGATTGGTAAAATAGGTTTTGGAATTGAAACGTCTGACGTCATAAAAGATCGCAATTTACGCTGCACGGATGGAGATTAACCGTAACTCAAGGTGATAAGCTGTTAACATTTATTTTACCAATTTGTATATTCTTGTAGAACGTATTACAATTGTTTCATATGTGCAACGTATAAAGAGCCACCTCTCCTACTCCATAAAGTATATATATTTTTGTATAACACCAACAGCCGTATCGAGATAGCACTATCCGTCTGTCTTCTTCTTTTTCTTTGTCTTTAAACTTTTGCACATGTATATCGGAACAGGCCGCGTCGGAGCACTATATCATATCTTGCATGGAAAGCTTTTTTGCTTATCAAGATAGCTTTACCAAACTCGGCATTTAAACTTTGCTGCTAATTTACATATGCGTGAAATCTTTTGTAAGGATCGCACTACTATATTATACATCATATAGGAATAATCGGATGGAAAGTGAGTTTTTGTTTGGCAAAATATTGTATTTTCATTTATGAGCCTAATTATTCTTACATATAAGCAAAATAATTAAGCAAGGATATTTTAACTTGGGCGTGCCTCAGAAATTCATACTTTCTTGTTGTTGTTTTTTTTTTTTTGTTGTAACAAAAGAGAAGTTTGTTTTCAATAAATAAGTCTGCATTTAAATGATTTGATGAGTTGAATAGTTAAGCGACAATATGAGTCTTAAATTGTGTATAACATTTGCATAAAATTAGTTGTCGCCTTGATTTAATAAGTTCTTACATGCATGAACAAACTATTTAAGATGATAATGAGCCATTTGCAATTTGTAAATTAAATACCGGCTGGCCTAAACATGTATCTTTCATTTTGTTTTATTATACTGATCACAACTACAGGTGTTAGGTGATGAAAAATATTATGAGGGCTTACCAAACGAATTCAAAAAGTCCGTGATCCGCTTTATGCTTGCTGTAATAACTTCAATATACTCTCGATTTGCCCAATCCTGGTGAATTTGCTTTTGAACTGTTTCTCTATGAGCTCCGCTCATTTTAAATCTTTCGTGATTTCTTATGTTATGTTTTTTGCTTATACTATTAGAACAAAATAATGTGTGTCCATCTTTATCCAACATTAGAGATGAGTTGAGGCTGCTTAATTTTTGGGACAGTGGAATGGAACAAAAATTGGTGACTTCAATATTCTACCATGCCTACGTTTAATCTGATGTCAAAACTTGTTGCTTTAAACTTATCTAAAAAAAATTACTTTCCTGGGTAAATATCGATCTCATTGGCACGGATTTCAAGCGTTCGCATTAAACAATTAATAGCTAATTGCGTCTACTCCCACATACAAAATCAATGGGCATTCTAAATTCCAATGTCAATATGGTGTAACAATATATTTTAATTGTATATAGTTGCTGCTTTTACTGTGAATATGTTAATTTGCAGGGGAATCTACTCTGTTCCTTCATGGCCTTAAGGTAGCAAGAGATGGTGCAGAAAGTTATCAGATAAAATAAATTAATAGAGAACTAAATGTTTTAACCATATGCATCTCTGCTGGCCCTGCACAAATAGATCAAAATGTTCCACCCCATAAATCGGTCAAATCTCATCTGATTTTCACGAGGTTTGGCACTTTGTTCATGGTTTGGTATATCAAAATTCATGTGAAAATGGTACCCTCATAAATTATAATGGTTATCTACGGTACTAAACGTACTCCAAAAATTAACAGCAGTGCTAATTTATAAACTTACAATAGTCGTAACTAGTACTATTTAAATACTCAAGGGTGTAACTGCTAAGTAGTTATCGGTCATCTCTATTGTTCACCTAAGTTGTCAAAAGACCTGAGATTTGTTAATTCTACCTTCGATATTAAAATAAAATAAACTATAGAAATTGAAATAGAATGTTATACGGAATCGTAAATATTTGTTGGATTCCGTTAACGGGATTTATTTCATTCTTGATTATTTTATCAGCAATCAACAAATCTGTTGGTGTTCGGAAGGCGTACGTTTCCCTTCTCTTAAGGATATTTGAGGTAAATTAAGTGAATTATTACGTTATGTTTTCATATGAATATTTCTAATATATATGTAGGTAAATATTTCTATATCAAATTGTGACACCTTATTAATTTGTTTCATTGTTATCTTTTAATTTAAGAAGTTCATAAATATAGCTCGTCCGATAATATCGCCATTATCAAATAATATTGGATTTAAAAACAAGTATATATATAAATGCAACTGCGTTTAGCATATGGAATTCATTTGTAAGCTCATTTAATGCACCAATCATACCATGTATTTGGCATCAACTTAATTTCGTAAATTAACTCAGTATACATATGTATGTATGTATGTCATGGCCGTGCTGACCAAGACGGTGAAATTGTGAATTCAATAGTGATGTGGGGAACTCATTCACGCGCCGATCTCATATCAGTATACGCCGGTCAGTCTTTGTCAGTATGCAACTTTCAACGCGTGTATGTGTGTTTTTGTAAGTGTATAAAACTATTCCAATCAGAGATGGGAACATATCGGATTTCTCCAATAAGCTTTCAACCTCAGTGTAAACTGGGCAGCAAATTCTGTACGAGATTTTATATGTATGTGTTCTATACAGTAAACCCATCGGAAATGTATGTAACAGGCAGCAGGAAGCATCTCCGATAAAGAATACATATATATTTTTGATCAGCATCTGTAGCCGAGTCGATCTAGCCATGTGTTTCTGTCTGCCTGTCAAGGATTTGTCTGCCCGTCCGTATGTATGAACGCAAGGATCACAGAATCTTTAAGAGCGAGAGACTTGAAATTTGGGTCCTCCCTGTCCGCGCAGTATGACTTTGTTTCCGATAATTGATATCGCAATCTTAATTTTTGATAAAAATTTGTTAGGTCTTAACAGCTAGTCACCAAGAGAAGCTACATGTCACAATTTTACGTAGCTACTTGAATATATATATATAAATGAATGATTTGTAAAGGCCTTGCAGCCAAATTTTAAATTACATAAACCCATACCATTGCGATTGTTAAGTTGATTTTATAGTGTATTGTATAATTACATAATTACAAACATATATCAACACACTATATATTGAATGCCATAGCATATAAGATAAGTACTTAGTTAATATTGCAGACACGCAGCTTGTTGATAACAACGACATTGGTCAAGATAAAACTGTCCCCTTCTAGTAGACATAAACAATTTACCATACAAATTACGGCCATGTCAGTGTTCCCTTCGGAGCACAATCCCACGTATAATTACTGACGCAGCTCAAACTTCCTCAAGCTCTCTCAAATCGAAGTTTGCTAAGCGCCCGCAACAGTATCAAACTATTTATTGTAATCGGAATATAAATATAAAAATATTAATTCCCTTGCTTCAGTGCCTTAGATTCACAGTTTTGGTTCTGTGTTCAAAAGTTTTACACTGAGAAAAAGCATTGCGCAACTTTATCGTTTTTTACTTTTTTTACTTTTTAATTTACTACACATTTTGTATTTTTAGTATGGCCGTGTCAGCATAGAGTCGGCTTCAAATGAAAATTCGAGGATCCCCGAAAAAAAGAAAGATACCGATGAAAATCTTCGTTTGGAACCAATAAAGGGCGAGGACTCAAACGAAGTATCCAGTGGAGCAGGGCTTATAACCCGAGATGCGGTTCTACTGCCTCAAGCTCAGGAAATTACTAATGATAAGCCTAATTTGACTGAAAAGGTAATTAATCCATAAACAGAGTATTACTAAGTCAGTTCAACCAGACTGAAATTTTTTTACTTGATAAAATATAAAATTGTTAAAATAAATATGTTTAAAATGATAAAATGACATATCAAAATCTAGTAACCACTTATTTAATATTTCTTATTTAATTATAGGAGGAAATAAATTTCGATTTGGAAAATTGTTTAGATTACGTGAAGTCTGGCGTAGAAGCTATTATCGAAGACGATGTTACCTCACGTTTTCAGGCTGAAGAGCTTAAAAGCTGGAACATGCTGACGCGAACTAACCGACGTTATGAATTTATATCCTGGAAAATAACGCTTATATGGATGGTTGGATTTGCAATTCGATATTTTATATTAATGCCACTTCGCGTCTTAGTGTGCTTTATTGGTGTACGTATATTTATAACCTTAGCAATTTTAATGCATAAATTAAGATTAATGGCATATCTTTTGCTGCTAAATAAGTTTGTGGTTTAAATATTCAACGTAATGATCTTTGATGTGACAAAACATTACTTGCTCTGATTACAATTGGTTTGAAATTTGGTATTCGTACCTTATTTTTACCAATTTTAAATTCATTTTATTTGTAAGTAGTAATGACGGCAAACTGAATGATAAGTACGAAGTTACGGAATAAGACAATTTAAAAGTGTGATAGGTACGAAGTTACGGAATAAGACAGTTAACGGTGATATCCATAGTTGAATTAAATTAATTTCACAAGCTAGATTCCTTTTTATAGGTGTTTCGGTCCTCTTCCAACTTCTGTAAAGCTGCAGAATACCGCTGCGCAAATTCCTTCGGTAATAATTTTGCGTGATGCACTTCTTCAGCTAAGCTCTGCTAGTACGCTCGTAGTACAATCCCAAATTATCGATAACTCGTTTTCAAACAATGGATAAAAATTGTTTACGCAATCTGGTTTTTAAGCATTTCCTTTGGCTCTAAGAGCTAGATTCAAATTTGATTATCAGCTCTTTGTATAGTATAATTTTAATGCTTAATTCGTTTTGCAAATAAGCGAATGTTTTGTGGTACAGAGATCTTCGCAATCTACTGCAGAAAATTTTTTAGACCCCAAAGTTATCCTAAATCTGTGTGGTCAATTTAGTCGTATTTAGCGTCAAACATATCAATTTTGTATACATGTGCACACACACATACTTATATAAGTGTATACTTTTTCGTATTCTATAAATATAATTATAATCACGATTATATTGTTTGTTGTGTGGTGTGCATATGCTGATATTCAGTAAAAATTCATATATAGATTTTGATAAATATAAAGGCATGTTTTTAATTTGCTTTCGTTTTTTTTCTTCAAAAACCGCGACTCTTAAACCTATATTTTAAAGAAAAAGTTTTTAATATTATATTAATTATGTCTTGTTGTGAATTTGTGCGCTTGCTCTAATAGCTCTGTGCGAAAACTGCTTCATTGATTTTAATTATCTGCGCCTCGCTTCTCTTGTGCACGAGCTTTCATGCGCAAACGTTCATTTGTAAATTGATTTTACTTTCGCGCACTGGTCGCTTTTTCGACCTGTGCTCTCGTTATTTCTGCCTTCAGCCTCTTGTTTGTCTAACAAGATTTGTATATTTATTACTCAAGTACGCCCCACTCACTCAATTACTCAACTCAAGCTTCCATTTTTATTCCCTTCAGAGGACATAATAAATTTGTCTAGAAATGTTTAACGTATAGAGGGAGACATCTCCGACCCCATAAGGTATCCATGTTCTTGATCAGTATCAAAAGCCGTGTCGATATAGCCGTGTCCGTCTGTCTGTTCTATGCGAACTAGTCTCTCAGTTTTAAAGCTATCGTCATGAAATATTTCATACTCCCTCTTTCTGTTGCACCCAGTACAAATGTCGAAAGCGGCTGGATCGGACCACTATATAACAAAGCTGTCATACGAACGATTGGTCGAATATCAATTTCTTGGTGATCCAGAAGGAAACATAACGATATGTGTATACATATCTTCCTGGACTTTACAAAGCATACTTGTTATGAAAGTATTAATTATTGTTATGTCGTATCAAGTATGTTCTACCGTTTGCACGCCCGTGTCAGTTTGTCTCATACGCTCCTATAACGATTAAACTACATATATACTCAGTGCATTCAAACCTTAGGAAATACATATTTTTATACTTATTCTGATTTAAAACTATCAACTATTACGAATCGGTTGGCCATGGTCATTTGTCTATATGAATAGGTCAATTTTGGACCGAGTTAAGGATTTAAAAATAAATTTTATTTACAAATTTGCATCCCTCGTTCCAACTAAGACTATCAAAACAAAACACTTCTGCACTTTTAAAGCAATATCCTTGGATTGTTGATATTTAAATTTCAAACAGTTGAAACCAGACGGGTAATACATACTTATATATAAACAAAAACCTAAGTCGTGGCAAAAAAGTTTTTAAACGTGAATTTGTTGTCATTTGCATACATATAATCGAGAAAATATCCATACATATATGTTAATATATTTAGCATCTCATAGAGAGGCTCTCAAGTACACTTTATAAGTGCATACAATTCAGTGTTCTGACTATCATTTCTCTTATTAATATCTTACTTTGGTTCTTAGGTTTTATTTGCAGTTGTTACAAACACAGTTGTGGCTTTAATACCCTATCGATTTTTGCGGCACCCCTTAGCGGACCTATCTTTCAAAATTACATTTCGCCTCATATCAAGTTCTTTGTCATCACTCATAGTATTTCACAATAAGCAATATAAACCCAAAACTTCTGGGTTTTGTGTAGCAAATCACACCTCCCCTTTGGACGTGGCAATACTATCAACAGACTGTACATTTTCCTTGGTGAGAAAGAAGATTTTATACTACAAAAAAGAAACGTGTACATATAAAATTTAATTTGTTATTTAATTTTATTGAAAACTACAGTAAAATCGCGTTTTTAATTTTATTGTTTATTTGCTTAGGCTCATTCAATAATTGCAGTTTTCGTAAACATTTTCCATTTAACAAAATTAAATATAATCATTTTATTGAAGCTAAACACTTACGTCATAGCGAAAAAATCAATAATTATTATTTGAAGCAACGTAATTGTCAATATGCAATAAATCCAGTATGATTACGGATTTTATTAAATTTTATATGTATACGAAAGTATGTGTGTTATACTTGTGGCTTTTGTGATCGTCTTTGCGTTACTGAATTTAACAAATTTTCACTTTGTATATTTCGTAATTAAACTGTAATTGTCCTTAATGAGAAAAGATAATAAGCAGGTAAGACATTTTTTATTTTTACTTTTTTTAATAGTTATTTTATACTCTTACCAGCAGATATTATTTAGCGTTACCCGTTCGAGTGAATTTGTTTGTGTAACAAAAAGTTATAAAATGCTGAAAGTGTCGCAATTCTATGCACTTTGTATTCCTCAGCACAGCCCAATATTATTTTTTAAACAGTATTAATAAAAACACATTAATAAACTGTATGTCATATAAATATAATTTGGCGTTTGTTAACATGAAGTTATTGCTCGCGTGCTTGACCTTCCGCAATATCTCATCAGTAAAATATTTGGCTTATGAATTGCAAACAATGCGTGCGTTGCAGCCACATTTGGAAAGGTGACAATTGGGCTATTGCTGATTTTTGGGTTTCTTTTTCTACTATCTCCAAGTCAATGTCAACTCGCTTCTCCTTTGGCCACAGCTGTTGGGCTTGTTCCCAAAAAGCAGGTGTGCTGTTCCTTCTTGGATTTCTGAAACTTCATTGACAACAGCTGTGGATAACGTGGTGGTGTTTAGATGAATCTCGTGCAGCACAATTTGCGTGTCACTCCATAAAAAAAAGGTATTGGGTATCTGCGTACAAAGAATCTATCTATTTTATAGTAGAGCTTTGAGGGCAGATGTGATCCACACAGTTCTAATAAAAGCAATGACAATTTCCTGGTTGGTTCGATTTGAGACATGCATGTTATAAAGCTTTGCAGTATTCCAATAGAGAGAACAAGGAATGTACAATCAACGTGAAATCTTTGAGTGACCGACGAAAAACCGATAATCGATAACTTGCCCAGTTTCAAAGTAATCGATAAAAATCGACATCGAAATCCTGTTTTTTGAGCAAATCTTGTAAGTTTTAAGAGCTAGAGTCACCAGACTTGATAAGTACCTTCTAAAATAGTATATCAAGTATATCAAGTAGCCTTAATATTATTGCCATTGCCAGACCCCTGCCTACACCCCATTGCTATAAATCAATTAGGTAAACCAATTTGAACTATCTACCAATTTAAGCCACAACTTTAATGCAATTGTCCTTTTAGAATATACGAATATTCTATAGCACAATAAGATCTACTCTTAAAAATTTCATCAAGATCGGTTAAGAAACAGAAAAGTTATTATGTTTTGGCTGGCCTCGTATTTGCGGCAGCTTCCGCAAACTGCAAGAATTTCTGTATGCATGTACACACACACGCTAATGCGCGTCTTTATTGAACTCTACCAACAGCGTCGCAATTGCAATTGCGATTGTATTTTTTTTTTGCTCTGTGTGTGTGTGCCGCTATTTTAAAACTTTTCGTCGAGTGTTAATTGTCGGTATGGCTGTCAAGTAGAGGCGTGTATGGTCGTCAGGCTAGAATCCTATTTTTTTTTTTTTTTTAATGAACTATTAAAATAATTGCGGCCGTAGCGCGAGCTGCATTTGATGTTGATAGAAGAGGGTTTAGGATATCCCCTAGACGGGAAGTCCCGACTAGAGCCTCTAAATTGTTTATTTTTAGTGCTGCAGATTTGCAATACTTCGAAGACAATAGTCTGGGTGTAGTAGCCTTTGTTGAGAGGCATTGTAAACTTGCAACTCTACAACTCTCTTAACAGAAGCGTAGAAGCACAGTATACAGAAACGACTGAATTTTGAAAATAATTTTACTAAAACCGCATTTGTTTACTATTACATTTGATTCCTTTACCTTCAAGAATTGCCTCAAATTTGTATAACCATTCCTTTTTTTTTTATATTAAAATATATTTTAATATTATTTATAAAGCAGGCAGAAGGTAGCACGTCCGACCCCATAAAGTATACATATTCTCTATCACGATGAATAGGCGAGTTAATCTAGCCATGTCTGCGTGTCCGCCCGTCCGCCTATACGTATGTAAGAACTCGTTTGTCTCAAAACCTACAAGAGATATATATTGTTATTAAATATATATGTATATATATATATATGTATATAAATTATTCAGGAAATGACTAATAATTGACTATGGAACCAAATAATTTAAGTTAAATAAAATAATATAATTATAAGACTAATTAATCAGCTGAGACAATTTCAACACAATATCAATTTCTTCAACACGCCTTTTGTTTTATGCAATCTCAGGTAGTGTGGTTAACAGCATGTACAGCTGCTGTGGGAAATCTAAAGGATGGCAATGAAAAACGGGAAATTGTGAATAAGGTTCTTGGGCACTGTTTTGGCGTCTTGTCCAGCGCTATTTCTGCAGTTATAACTTACCATAATGAGGATAATCGACCGTCATCAGGTATTTGTGTGGCAAATCATACAAGCCCTATAGATGTACTAGTACTGATGTGTGATACGACCTATTCTCTGGTAAGACAATTTAAGAATTTAGAGGAATATGCACAAAATATCTGACTAAACTCCTGGTTTCATACTTAATAATATATTATATGTGAGGACACTTTAATGCATCATTAACATGGACAATAATGATGGGAATTAAAGGTTTGATAAATTAATGATATAATGAAATTTATACCGTATATTACCTCTGATTAACTTAATGTATATTTCATACTATCGGAAAACAAGTGTATAAACTCGTAAACATTTTATAAAACAGGTCGAAAGGTCTGTTCAAGTTTGTGTAATGGGTAGCCTGTAGCTTTTCCGATAGGTATATATATTCGTGATAAGTAAAAATAGCTTACCCATATCCGTTTAGTATGTCTGTCCGTATCTATGTACGCCGTATCCGTATCCGTATACGCCCATCCGTTCTTCAATGGCACTCAGAATCAAGTTAACATTTAAATCATCGATAACTCGTCTTGATTTTTCACTTTAATTAGCATATCTTGTTTTAGGGATCTGGTTTTAATAGTTAAAGATGTATATTAGGAATATGTTTTTGCTACTAAAGATTGCATGTAAAAAGTTGTAGTCAGTAGTATCAGAGTGGGGAGTTTTTGAGGTTATAACCAACATTAGGACCCGTCAAGACCTCTTTAAAAGAGGTCATTGATGACTTTTTTCTACCATATTTAGTTGATCGTTCTAGAACCGAGGTAGCCATGAGTTTTACCTTTAATTCTGCCGAAAAACACTCACTCTGGCAGGAAAGAGGATCTTATACCAAACTAATATATGTTATTTTGATTTGTGTACATAGTTTAGAAAATATTATTTGGATCAACAGTTGTTGCGAACTTTGGCCAACCTATTGTGTCAATCGTCAAAATATAGTTCTTCGAAGATCTGGTTCCCGTAGTTACTACCTGGCAGTCGCCGGTTAAACCACTGGTTGAAAAAACAAAGAACCACTTCTATTGTAGCAGAATAACTCTGGTCCAAAGAAGAAATATAACGAATACAACTAAAATACGAAATGTGTCTACAATGTACTAGGCAGATTATATAGAGGATACCCTCTTCTACAAACACCAAATGCTCGCGCTTGGCTTTATGAAGTTACCGTCATGCCGTTTGGTCTGACAAATACCCCGGCTACCTTTTATCGGTTGATGGACAGCCTCTTCGCTGGTGTCCCATGGAAGTCTGTGCTGGTCTATCTGGAGGTTTCCGATCGTCTGAAATAAGCCGGCCTGAAGCTGAGTCCATGCAAGTGTAATTTTTCCGCACCGAAGTTAATTATCTGACGATAGCTCGGCCGTTGTATGAGTTTACCTATGGTCCCCTGCCGCCCAAGAAGCTTTCGACTCTCAAAAAAAAAGTTGACGGAGTCGCTCGGTATCACCTTCCCAGATCCCCATGGCGCTGAAGCCTTTTTCAGAGCCAGGGAGGGCAAGAACGCGTATTGGAATATTACTCCAAGACTTTTAGTTCCGCGGGACGAAACAGGAGAGTACTCATAGTACTGGTAACCAAGCATAATCATTACTACCTAGTTGGCCGAAGATTTTTCGTCGTCCCTGTGGTAAGTGCCGCATATGCGAAAAAGCCGAGCTGAGCGACAATCAAGGTGTCCTATTCCTGCAACTAAGCCAAGCGGCAAAACGAAGATCCGACTCTGAAGATGGGTTTGTCTAGGCTGAACAAAGAAAAACGGCTTTCCAAAATGTGCCATCTTGGGTGAGACGGCATATGCTTAGTACCCTGTACTTAGACCAAGGCGTGCTGATGACCATGAATACGGAAGTCGACGCAGAGGCCATAGAGCCTCGCTGCCTTCAGCTAATGCTTCTACTGGAGGACACTTTGGTGTCAGTAAAATGTTGGCCAAACTGAAAAAGTGCTACTTTTGGATTGGGCAGAGTGCGGATGAGCAATCTGGTGCGCTCGGTGCCCGAAGTGTAAAGCCAGGAAAGGACTCTCTCAGTGCACGGTCGGTCGGCTGTAGCCCAGTTCCATAGACGCTCCCCTCGAGCGTATTCCGATCGACATTCTGATCCCACTACCACCCTTGGCAATTGGTATATCGCAGTTGTCTTCTACTATCCCAAATGGGAGGAGTACGTCGCTTCCTGAAACACCACTCGGATCAAGGCTGAAACATCGAGTCGAAAATATTCCAGTGTTGCCTTCGAATCCTCGACGTGAAGAAAACGCGCACAACGCCATTCCAACCGGTCGGGATGGTTGGACGTTTTAATCGGATACTTCTGGACCAATCAAAGAGACTTGGACCAGTTGCTCCCACTTGCGATATGGGCATTCCGCTCTGCCTTCCCGAAGCTATTTGGATTTTGCGCGTACAACTGATCTTGAGTCGACATCTTCGTCTGACCTCGGAACTAATGTTCGGTCGCCCGACGCAGAATCTATCCTGCTCACGTCCGCTAACATTTACAAGCGGCCGCAGAAATAAATAAGGTGCAGTACGGTCTGCGTTCCCTGTGACTTCACTTGGTTGTACTCATCGACGCGCAGAGTCGGTTAATGCCCGAAATTACAGTCAGATTGGATTGGATCGACGACCGTAGCACGCTGCCACTCTGACTTCGTTTATGAGGTACGCATCCCTGGAAAGCACACGACGATAACGGTTCACGTCAACCGCTTTGCCCCTTACCAAGGACTAACCACGAATGTACTCGGCGAGAAGGCTCAAATCACAGAGGGGCAGTGTTATGAAAAGAGCGCAACCAACATTATTCCTTTCTACAGGTCCTGCCTTGTCGTTAACTCAACAGTTCAACAAATATCTCGATTACTTTATCGAAATATCGGCACCCTCACCCCTAAGTTAATAACTGGACCATCCCTTATTCCTTCTCGTTTTGGCTACGACCCGGCGTAGCCACGTGCTTCGTAAAAATTATATTGCAAAAGATGTAATAAAGCTTAACTTAAAACCTTTATAACCTACCCGGTATTTATGTGCTGGTTGCCGTTGCTGTCCCCCGCATATAATAAGTTCCGTTTGGATACCCGTGGCGACGTTAATTCATTTTGGCAAAATTTCTCTACAATATATACTATTCAAAAAGCTACATATAAAACCTACATGATTTGCTCAAAAATCAGAATTTCGATATCGATTTCTATCGATTGCTTGATGGATTGTTCATATACACCATATATTATAGTTATTGTATCAATATATGCATAAACTTAATCAGTTGTTTCAATAGCAATGTCATAAGCAGATTATGTTAGGATTATGCTATGATTTCTCAATGTAAGGAGTGTAATGCTTACTTGTTCCTGTTCCCCAAACGACGACATAAGCAGTTAATAATAGATTAAGCCGCCAGGCGGGTAAACAAGAAGAAATTCTGGTCAACGGGAAACGCATCACTAACAAACCGATAATTCGCTCGCCCATTCTCCCTTGTGTCCCACCGGCTATCCGGCTGGATAAAACATATTAATTCAATAATCTCTTGCTCTCACTTAGCCCTAAACTCTACACGTCCCCTTCAGCTAACCATTAACTCTGAAACAATGGCAATCGCATTTAAATCGTGTACATCAAGATAAAAAGGACTCTCCTAACGACACACAGGCAGACTACCTAGCATAATCACTGTCTGGCAAGCCAGCACTTTCTTTTTACCCACCACCTGATCATTCTCTCACACTCCCGATTACTCATTCAAAGCGCATTCGCGTCAAGACCAAGGATAACTGTAGTAGCACCTCATCCAAATACGCAATGTTGCATTACATGCTCACTTCGAACACCCAGGAAAATCTGCCACTAAGGTTCACCGACACACCCCAGTCAGTTGAACTCACAAAAGTATATTTAAAACTGACATCATTCATAATAACAGCGGCGGTGGACCTGATTTCAGGGCAGCAGGGCAACGACGCTGCTCTTTGCACACATCATTGCATAGGACTTTTGACAATTCATCTGAAGATGAATCTCCAGCTGAATCTCCATCACACATACCTCCAGACCCACCTCGCTGAACTGTCCTCTACAATCATCTTCGACTAGGCCACCGGTCGCCTAGTACGAATTATCGCACCATACTCCCGTAGAGGTTTTACCTTATGCCGTGGGTAGGAACAACCTTCATCGCGGTCTTACCAGATTTACTTGCTTACATTTTACTTGTTTACATTTTAAAAAATCTTAATCAGCTGACCTCGGTTGCACGTTAATTGCAGAATCCCGTATACATGTAATACAATATATTGTTTTATATCGTGAATCAAGATTTAAAAACTATTCCAGCTTTTGAATACTAACAAAAAAAGGTGGTTAGACATTTTTTTACCCAAAAGCAGAACTGGATGCAAAACTTTTAGTTAACATTTAAATCAACTTCTATTTATATATTTCGTTTAAATTTTATAAATGTTTTGTGTTATGTTTACATAACTAAATAAAATAAATAAATAAAATATGTTTTACTTTTAGATTGGTCAAAGGCATGGTGGTTTCCTAGGCGTACTACAAAGAGCACTGGCAAGGGCATCTCCTCATATTTGGTTTGAAAGAGGAGAAGCCAAAGATCGACATACTGTTGCAGAAAGATTAAGACAACATGTATCAGATCCGAATAATCCACCTATTCTTATATTTCCGGAAGGCACTTGCATAAACAATACTTCTGTTATGCAATTTAAAAAGGGAAGTTTTGAAGTTGGCGGAGTTATATATCCCGTTGCCATAAAGTAAGTGATTGCATATTTGATTTTAAATTTACATATTAGATTTAAAATGTAGAAAAAATCAAAGATATATTAAGGTAATAAGGTAATTGTTTTTGCTAAACGTGGCTAGCGGGTCTTCTATAGAAAGTCACTCCATCCAGTACAATTTCATAACTTTTACTATTAAATTATATATTATAATATCAATAACCACAAAGGTGAATGTGTTCGTTTATTTCAGATATGATCCTAGATTTGGTGATGCGTTTTGGAACAGCTCTAAATACTCAATGATGCAATATCTTTATATGATGATGACTTCATGGGCTATTGTTTGCGATGTTTGGTATCTCCCGCCTATGTATCGGCAGGATGGAGAATCGGCGATAGATTTTGCTAATCGTGTTAAGGGTGTTATAGCAAAACAAGGAGGATTGGTGGATTTAGTATGGGATGGACAGCTCAAACGAATGAAGCCGAAAAAGGAATGGAAAGAAATTCAACAAGTTGAATTTGCAAATCGTTTAAAATCGGATTGACTTTAAGTTAATACTTAATAATTTGTAATTTTCAACATGATTTACAAAATGTATAAATATATGACAAAAAAACAAAAAACATGACAACTGCGATATACCGATTGCCAAGGGTGGTAATGGGCAGGGGCCCATAATGTCGATCGCAATATGCTCAAGAGGAGCGCCAATGGAACTGGGCTGCAGCCGACCGACCGAGCGCCGAGAGGGTCCTTGCCGTCCGCACTTTGCCTAATCCGATAGTAGCGCTTCTTCAGTTTGGCCAAAGTTTTACTGACACCTAAGTGGCCTCCAACATTTTGCACGCCTCAAAGGGTTTCCTCCTGAAGGCAGCAAGTAACTATGGGCCCTGCGTCGCCGTCCTGGCACTTTTGGAAGACCGCTCTCCTTTGCCGTTTGACATAGTCGATTGACTGAATTTTTCGCATATGCGTCACACGCCACAGAGCCGTCGAGAAAGGCTGTCTGCGTTTCCGTGGTGTCTGTCGCTGCGATGTTAGATATCTTTAATGGCAAACCAAATATTGGATTCGAAAAGAGATCACATGAACGATTGGCGGAATCAGCAATAAAAATGAAACTAAAAGGACATTCAAGATGCTTGATAAGAGAAAACAAAGCTTACAGCAATAATGCTAATTGTATATTTGATTCAATTGATAAAGCATTTTCCACAATTTCAGATGTTTTTTTAATAAGAAATAAATATAACTTTTGAAATATAATTTTGCATATATTTTTTCACAAGAATTTTAGGAATAGTTTCGGTCACCCATATATTCTAGAGGGTACCCCTAGAGGTTTAAAAATCTGGGACGCCATGTAGTTAGACCACAAATAAAAAATAAAAAAGTCCGACCCAAAAATGTGAATCCCAAATACATTTTAAAAATCGAGTGGCTAAGGCCGTAGAAAATTTGTACTTTGCGCTTCTAATACCATAGTTTATTCCATGAATTCCATTTAATTAACGTCTACTGATTTTGGTTGTAGACGTAGATAACATTTTTAAAATAATGAACGATAACATGGTACATTTCATTCATGGATGGCTCCTTTACGATATATTCTTTTACATTTATCGGCGCTATCTTACCCTGCTGTGTCACCCTGTGCATAAAGTTGATAAGTCGGTCTTGTTTACACCGGTAAAGCCAAATTTCGTTCGTAAGAAATTAATTTTAATGGTAACTTAAAATGGCACACGTTGAAACTATTCCGGTAACTACATTCCGGAGCCACTTAAATATACTAAACGATCCGGCGGCAAATGAAGAAATCAAGTTGAAAGCCACCCAGGAGTTAAGTGAACATTTTGATATGATCATGCAATCTCCGTCTTATCCCTCGTTTTTGGAAAATGCACTTAAGATATTTATGCGTATATTACAAGAGGGCGAGCCTCAATTTATACAAGAAAACACGATTCAGCATGTAAGTACTTATTTGCTTTACAAATAACCTACTGTAATTCAATGTTATATGTAAGTATGTAATACCATATGTATACATACATACAAGCATTCTATGCACATTGCCGTATGCATTTTAAGCCTTAAATGAAAACCCAAGTACACAAGCACGTTTGTCTTAATACATAAGTAATAACATGTATAAGTTTATTTACGTCCCAAATCGGCACCATTCCAATCCAAGTTTGAGTGAGATAAATTGATAACAAGTTTTTCATACAAGAACCTTCCTTTGGACCAATCGCTTCTATGGCAGCTATATGATATGGTGGCCCGATCTGGCCTATTCCAACATATGAGATATCAATTGCGCTAGTCATTCCGACATTCAGCCCAGCAGCAATCAAAACACACGACTCGGCAGCCAAAAACAAACTCAGTCTTTGCTACCTCTGTTTTTTTCTACAGCCATGGTCTTCCCTATTGCCAACTAATTTTCGAAAGCTTCGATTGCCGTAAAGATACTTTCATATTGTACTGTTCGACTTTTAACTTTTAGAATAAATCGGATCTCAAGCCAATACTCTCAGTTTTGGCATGCGATAAAAAACTATAGATGGTTTCCAGATATCAGGAAATTTTTGGATTTGAATGTCAACAACGAACTATGACAACTTTTGGCATTATGGTTGCGTATACATATACAAATCGCGTTTGCCAAACGTTCTTATTAAAGCGTCAGTCATGTCAGCCATGTATCACGGAGAATATGTTCCGTATTGTCAAAGCTTAAATTGAATAACATCTTCAATCGTCTGAGTATTGGCTTGGCTGCGTTTATTGCGGATGACTCAGGAGAATTGCAAAGCCATGATTAGTTAGTTTGATTTTAAGTTTTCCTTTCGAAACTGGCGGATCGTTTTTCAAAATATTATCATTATGGGAAGGCTGATGTTGCAAGCACGCGTTTGAAGAAGATTCATTGCTTTTGAAAACGAATTCCTCGCCTACAAATATCATCTTCCCAATAGAAAACGGTCTGAGCAATGAAAAAACATTAATTATAAATGATAAGCACATAATATCATAAGATAAACTCTGAACATAAGTTTTCATTAATGCAAATTATTATTCAATTTGTAGGTTCGCAAGCTTATTTTGGAGATGATACACCGATTGCCCATAACAGAAAATCTAAGACAGCATGTTAAATCGATAATAACTATGATGCTCAAATTATTAAAAACTGATAACGAAGAAAATGTGCTGATAAGTCTGCGTATAATAATTGAGCTGCATAAACATTTTCGTCCATCTTTCAATCCAGAGGTAAGTATTTGTTAATTAATGAAAAGACAATTCCCTCCATATTTTCTGTTAAAAGGAACATAAATTTGTAAAATCTGAATGAAACTTAGGTTGAGCATAATTTTAAACTTTTTGTTCATTTTAAGCACAAATAATCCCTAAAAGAACTTTTTTTTTTAATTTTATTTTAAGTAATCTTAATCCTTTCCAGAAACTAGGATAAAAAAGATAAAAGCTTAGCTTAGAGAAGGGATATGTTCGCAGTTGAAACGATTATTAATAAATTCCTCTTCTATTTTTAGATTCAGCTATTTTTAGGGTTTGTTAAAGAAATTTATACAAATCTGCCAAATAATTTAACATCAATCTTCGAAACTACAAATGATATTTGGATAACTGACCTAAAAGATTTGGATTTAGAAATGCTTTTGCCTACCACATATTCAGTGAAAACTATACACGTGGAGAAATCACAAGAGCACAATTCGCAGCAAATGATTGTAAGTACACTTCATATTTTAAACGCTTTCAACACAATTTCTATATACAGCATCTACGTCTGTTTGATTTTAAGCAAACAAGTCACTCAGTTCATCGTCTATATCATATAGCTGCCATTGGAAAGATTGGGCGATAAGTTGGCTTCTTGCAGGGAGCATTTTTTTATCAATATATTTCGGCATTTATTAGTTGCACTTTTTTTTATTTTAAAAGATTTGTTTTTTTTTTTTATCTACCTATAGAAACCGAGCAATGTACCAAAATATTTAAGTTCAGCATTAAAATAAGTTAAATGTATGTTTATTGCTAAATTATATAAAAATTATTAAAATGCACTCCCTATTCCAGTATAATCTCCTTCCTCGGGGTATATTGTCCTTGAAAGTTCTTCAAGAGTTGCCAATTATCGTTGTGCTGATGTACCAAATTTATAAGAATGCTGTCCACCAAGAGGTCGCCGAATTTATTCCTTTAATACTTACAACTATTAATTTACAACCAACTGTAATTCAAAGGTAAGTTATAACAAATAATTGCACTCTAGTCAAGCCGTTACGGATTGCCTGTCAAAATTGTAATTGAAAATTCGTAAAATATTATTATGATTTATAATGATATACTATTTATCAGCTTTTGTTGCTGTTTGTTAACTTTAAGATTTATTATGAAGTATATTTTAAATATTATTTTGCTAGGAACACATCACAAAAGGAAGTTTTTGTAGACTTCATGGGAGCTCAAGTAAAAACACTTTCATTTTTGGCATACATTGTGCGAATTTATCAGGTAAGTTTTCTCCCTTGATGTTTACCAAATGTATAAACTAAATATATTATATTTTTCAGGATGTAGTCATAGCTAACTCATTATCTGTATCAAATGGTATGCTGAATTTGATGGAACATTGTCCGAAAGAAGCTGCACATCTACGGAAAGAACTTTTAATTGCTGCGCGTCACATATTTGCTACAGACTTACGTCAAAGTTAGTCTCATTTTTTAAATTACTACAAAACCATTTTAACTTTTAATTTATTTTTAGAATTCATTCCATCAATAGAAAAATTGTTTGATGAGGATTTGCTTATTGGAAAAGGGGTGACTTTAGACTCCATTCGCCCATTAGCGTATTCGACGTTAGCTGATCTTGCACATCATGTCCGCCAGAGCTTAAGTTTGGATGTCTTGATAAAAGCAGTACACTTGTTTGCAAGAAATGTACATGATGAGACACTGGCTGTTGGCATACAAACTATGTCGTGTAAGCTTTTATTGAATCTAGTAGATTGCCTTCGACACCACAGTGAGCTTGAACCACAGCGTTCTAGAAATATTCTGGGAACACTGTTAAAAGTGTTTGTAAAGAAGTTCGAAACTATCGCGCAAATTCAGCTTCCTCTGATTATTCAAAAATGGTATGTTTACATGTCAAATAATTAAATAATACATAAGTATATGAATGACCCTTTTACATCGAATCGATATGGCCATGTCCGTCTGTCTATTGCTATCTTATGTTCTGTTCTTATCTGCTGCAGGAAGTAAAATTAAGTTCTATGAACAATTTTGTTTGTCAAGATATCTGACATAAGCAAAACCTCGTCAATATTGAATCACTTAATCATATAGCTGCTATGGGACCGATCGGTCGAAAAATAAGCTCTTGTATGTAAACCTTTCTTGATAATAACTATTTTATAATTATAGCAAAAGCATAAACGCATCCTTTATAGTTTGAACGAGATTGAACCTTGGGCAACGCAATGATAACTTATCTTGTTTTAATAGCTTCGATCAAATTTTAGGGTAACAATTTTACCATTGACCTTTTAATATTTGTAAATAATTA